AGTACGAAGGGCAACACTTCGTGATGTTGATGTCATGATCATGATAACACCCACAGCGGCTATATAAACACCGATCGAGCACACTCAGTCTCATTCTACATGGTGCTGCCGTGGCAGCCGGAGGGGGGGGGGAGGGGGGGAGGTAGGGGGAAGAGGGGTAGAAGGGAGAGGGAGAAGGGAGGGAAGGAGGGAGAGGAAAAGGGAGGGAAGGGGGAGAGGAGAAAGGGAGGGAGAACATGGCGCTACCATGCGCCGGAGAGGAGGGTATAAGGCTGCTTTCATACTTTGCGCCGGTGCATATTTTCATACTTTGCCTATGTTTCCCAGGCTCTTTATAGCAATGTTCGCTTTCGAATATGCGATTAGGTAGTAGGCAGTAGGGCAAGTGTTCAGAAAGAAAAGCGATTATATATCGACCAGCTTTAGCTCCAAGTGTAACCGCGCGTATGACATCAAAGGCTCCGCTGAAACTGGACAGTTAATAGAGCTTTAGGCTTCACCGCCAAGAAATAAGTTGCTCCATGGAATGCGCTATGGAGCGCTCGGAGTTGGCGATCGTATGCGATTAGGCGATCGAGCGAGTAGGCGATTAGGCGGGAAGACCACATACGTATTGATTGGTTGCTCCGCCCATAGAGCGTTGTAGGCGAGTAGGCGAGTAGGCGATTAGGCGATCGCTCATGGGCGGAGCAACAAATCAATACGTATCCTTCTCTTATCGCCTACTCGCCTACTCGCCTACTCGCCTACTCGCCTAATCGCCTAATCGCCTAATCGATACTTATGCTTTTCTTTTCGAGTCATCACCTAATCGCCTATTCGCTCAATCGCACGATCGCCAAGTATGACAGCTCCAGTAGCTGACTGTCCGCTTGATACGCGCGATGGAGCACCAAGCTAAAGTGATCTCTGTAAACAACCACCATGCATCGAATGTCAGAATAATTTGGCGGTCGAATAATCTTTGATGCAAATGATCTTATCTCTCAAAAAGAACTCCATGCAGACAGAGGAGCGTTGCAAAATCAACCGTTGTAAACATTCTTTTGAAAAAAAAAATATTTGACATAATAATCGTCTTCACGAAACATTAACAGGTGAAGAAGAGAGTCCTGAACTTGAACCGGAGGGACTTCTGAGTTATCGAGATGTGAAGTATTACATATGACATGTATGTGTGGTATTACATCAGGGGGTATTTTGCTAACCTGTGAAGGGGCAGTCGCCCAGCTACGCCGGGCGGGTGTGTATCAAGTGGTGCGAATGGAAATTTTAGCACCTAATTAGTGCTGCGTCGCGACGAGGTGCGAAGTGACCTCAAATTTTGGCACCTAATTAGTGCTGCCTCGCGACTAGGCGCCAGCTATCTGTGGGCGAGACGCGCCGTACATGTCCA